GCTAGGAATATACTGTGTAGAGATGCAAAAACATCATTCATTCATTTCTGTTTTTTTTTAATTATTATTTGTTCCTGTTAAAGTGTGTCCCCTTTACAGCCTGTAGTCTGTGAGCCATTCTTCCCCTTCTTCTTCCTGAATATATAGTCTTTTAAATTTTTCCATTTCTGTTTCAATGACGCCTCTTCAATGCTGAAGGGATGCAGACCATGTTGTCACCAGGCAGTGGTGCCAAGAGCTGCAAGAGTGTCTTAAAACACAGTGGAAGGTCTTCATGAAACTAAATAATCTTTAAAGACATAATACCATCGGGTCAAAACAAATCACTGTTTAGACTAGCAAGAGTGCTAATGCTAATGGTTGCTGCAGTTTTGTTTTGTTTTTTTGAGGCCATTTCTTTTCCAATACCTGAGGGAGCTGGTGTGCTTAAAGCTGAGAAACTCCAGATACTTGAACGTCAGTGTCCTGCTTCTTACTGAACACCAGGATCCTCCAGAGATTCTTCTGTTAGAAAGGTAGATAAAAAGTTACATTTTAGATTATCTGGTTCGGACTTCAGGAGTTAAACATTTTGAGAATCATGCCAGCTTAGTGCCTGACTGAGAAACTAAACCAATCCGTCTTATACAAACACGCACAACCACAAAGTCAGAAGTGTCCTGTATTTTCAGGACACTGAAAATGCTGCAGCCAGGTGTCTTTTCTTTACCAGCGTTCACCTACTGCTTGTTCTACCATTACACAGTTTGCTTCATGATTACAGTAACCCGGCTGTAACCTTTTTTTAATTATAGCTGTGGGACAGACGTGCAGTCAGACAGAGTAAAGACTGTTAAAGCCAATTGACTTGCTGCTTGTCTCGGCTCAGCTCTGTTTATTTAAGAAAGGATCTTCGCTACCTGGTAATGTTTTCCCTCTTCTCTGAGGTAATTAGTATTTGTTGCCATACTCACTGCTGTTGGATGCTCTTAGTCACAGCAGAGACGGGAGGGAACAGGGGAGAGGGATGTTTTCATTCTGTTCCACCTTGGCGCCCTCTAGCGCTGTTTTTGCGAAAAACACACTGTGGACGTCAGCATAAAACCATTGCTCGAGTTGCCACACGTGGGTCTTCAATTGGCTCTCTGTTAGTGTCTCGAGTCTGAATGGACCAAATTCAGCTGGGCTGTGCTTTAAAAACAAACATTCACGGTAATTACATCCAAAAAAGTGTCATATATTAAACAGATGGCAGAAACCTAGCTGTTAGTGATTGGCAGATACTGTGTAGAGGAGAGTTGTGATTT